TTCTTGCTTCTTTCCTCTAATTTCTGCTAGAATCTGTCTTTTCTGCAGAGACACTCTGTCTGGCGGTGTTATTCGTCCGCCATCTTGCTCCACCTAATTTTTATTTTTATCTTTATTTTATTGAGCTTAGAAGGCCACAGAGTCATTTTGCATGCTTGGAAGATCTGGATTAAATCTGTTTGGGTCACAGTATGTTGCTACAGGGAATTAGAAATTCTGGAAGAAAGGTAATGTTTTAAAGCACTAGTTTCAGGCAATACAGCAGCTACACACTTTTCTCACCCTCTCTGATATCCACATTGAAATGGGGAGGACCTATTGCACGTTTAGACAAAACAGGAATAGCTCTGGACTCGCTATGCACGTATAAGAATCTTTGAGGAATTTCTTTTAGATACGGTGGAATTAAAATGGATTTTATAGCATTGAGTTTGTTTTTTAAATTATTACACAGTAACACTAAATGTTTAAGGGGGGAAAGGTACTTTAACAACACTACAAGCATAATCTTTAAAGACTTATATTTTGGCACAGATTCACAGTTTTTCCTTTTTTTTTTTTTTTGACACAGAGTCTCACCCTGTTGCCCAGTCTAGAGTCCCGTGGCATCAGCCTAGCTCACAGCAACCTCAAACTCCTGGGTTCAAGCGAGCCTCCTGCCTCAGCCTCCCGAGTAGCTGGGACTACAGGCATGCACCACCATGCCCAGGCTTACTTTCTAAAATTTTTAGTTGGCCAATTAATTTGTTTCTATTTTTAGTAGAGATGGAGTCTCACTCTTGCTCAGGCTGGTTTCAAACTCCTGACATCGAGCAATCTTCCCACCTCAGCCTCTCAGAGTGCTAGGATTACAGGCTTAAGCCACCTCGCCCGGCTTTTTTGTTGTTGTTGTTGACTATTTAATTGGATCTGCAAACCACAATTTATCTAGTCACCTTGTGGATAGACACGTGTTTCTAGTTCTTGGCTACTAGGAATAATGCTGCTATGAACATGAGTATATAAATCTTTTTTGTGGACATAGTTTTCATTGCCACTGTTTTAATAGAATTCTAGAAGTAGAATTTCTAAGTCATATTTTAAATGTATATTTAACTTTGCAGGAAACTGCCAAATTGTCTTTCTAAAGTTGTTGTGCCATTTACGTTTCCAATAGCAGTGTCTGAGAGTTCCAGTCACTCCCTGTCCCCACTAGCACTTGGCCTTATCAGTCTTCTTAGTTTTAGCCATTCTAGTGAGAGTAAAGTAGGATCCCACTGTGGTTTTAACTTGCATTTCTCTGATGACAGATAATAAAAAGCATTTTTTTCATATGATTGACTATTGTACAACTCTTTTGTTATGTCTTATTTTAGAAAGGTTTCAGAATAATTTCAACACATCTCTATACTTCTTAAGCATGCATAAAATCAAGTAGATTTCAATATTTGTTAACACTTAATTTTTTTGTTCTGAGGATTGATAGATGATAGATAAGTGGTGAAGCTAGTATATAAAATGTTAATAGTGCCATCTATGGCCTGGCGCGATGGCTCCAGCTGTAATCCTAGCACTCTCGAGGCTGAGGCGGCGGATTGCTCAAGGTCACGAGTTCAAGATTAGCCTGAGCAAGAGCGAGACCCTCATCCCTACTAAAAATAGAAAGAAATTAGCTGGACAACTAAATATATAGAAAAAATTAGCCCAGCATAGTGGCACGTTTCTGTAGTCCCAGCTACTCAGGAGGCTGAGGCAGGAGGATTGCTTGAGCCCAGGAGTTTGAGGTTGCTGTGAGCTAGGCTGACACCATAGTACTCTAGCCAGGGCGACAGATTGAGACCCTGTCTCAAAAAAAAAAAAAAAAAAATAGTCCCATCTACGTGGTGACATGCACATATATAGTCACAAAATTCTTGAATGCTTTAGAAGTCCAGAGATAGACAGTCATAGGCTTATATAGCAGCTTCATGATCATCAGAGATTCAGGCTCCTTTCAGATTCTCTGCCATCCCTAAGCTGCCGCTCTCATTCTTATACTCCAATGTGGGGAGGAATCTCCAGCCAATATATCTATGTTCCCAGCATCAGGATGAAAGGACAAAAAGCTTTTGAGCACCTTTCAGGTGACTCACCAGAAATTCTACACAACATTTCCTTTTATATATGATAGGCCAGACTTTAGTCATGTAAGCACCTTTGCTGCAGATGAGTGTTTTAGCTACGTGGCTAGGTGGTCAGCTAACAGTTCAGGCTCTGCTGGGAAGGAAGGCGGGTGTGAATTGGAAGTGCTCAGTCCTCTTCTCAGCGGCACACAGCACTGAGACACTTTTTAAGAGTGTCAAACTCTTGGCCGGGTGCAGTGGCTCACGCCTGTCATCCTAGCATTCTGGGAGGCCGAGGCGGGAGGATCGCTTGAGTTCAGGAGTTCAAGACCAGCCTGAGCAAGAGCGAGACGCCGTCTGTACTATAAATAAAAAGAAATTAGCCAAACAACTAAAAATAGAAATAATTAGCCGGGCATGGTGGCGCATGCCTGTAGTCCCAGCTACTCGGGAGGCTGAGGCAGGAGGATTGCATGAGTCCAGGAGTTTGAGGTTGCTGTGAGCTAGGCTGATGCCACAGCACTCTAGCCCGGGATGACAGAGTGACACTCTGTCTCAAAAAAAAAAAAAGTGTCAAACCCATCCTATCATTTCATCCAGAAACGCTTTTTTTTTTTTTTATTTTGGCATATTATGGGGGTACAGATTTTAAGGTTTCAATAAAAGCCCTCAGAAATGCTTTGATGTATGCCATCCACAGATAAGGGTATTTGTAAATACAACCACAGGCGCAATAACTCACACCCAACAAAATTAATGATTCCTTAACATACAGTTCAGTTTTCCTAGATTGCCTCCAAAAGTGCCATTTTTACAGCTCATTTGTTAAAATCAACATCCAACAAAAATCCATACATTGCATTTGTTCATGTCTATGAGCTCTTTCAGTGACAGGGTGCTCATCCCTCACATCTGGAGACTGCCACACCTGGAGACTGCCACGCCTGGAGACTGCCACGCCTGGAGACTGCCACGCCTGGAGGTGACTGCCACGCCTGGAGACTGCCACGCCTGGAGACTGCCACGCTGGAGGTGACTGCCACACCTGGGAGACTGCCACGCCTGGAGATGACTGCCATACCTGGAGACTGCCACGCCTGGAGGTGACTGCCACACCTGGAGACTGCCACGCCTGGAGGTGACTGCCACACCTGGAGACTACCACGCCTGGAGAGACTGCACACCTGGAGACTGGCCACACGCTGAGTGACGCCACACCCTGGTGACTGCCACACCGGAGGTGACAGCACACCTGGTGACTGCCACACCTGGAGGTGACTGCCACACCTGGAGACTGCCATGCCTGGAGGTAACTGCCACACCTGGTGACTGCCACGCCTGGAGGTGACTGCCACACCTGGTGACTGCCACACCTGGAAGTGACAGCCACACCTGGTGACTGCCACACCTGGAGGTGACTGCCACACCTGGAGACTGCCACACCTGGAGGAGACTGCCACACCTGGTGACTGCCATGCCTGGAGGTGACTGCCACACCTGGTGACTGCCACACCTGGAGGAGACTGCCACACTTAGAGACTGCCACGCCTTGAGACTGCCACGCCTGGAGGTCACTGCCACGCTTGGAGGTGACTGCCATGCCTGGAGGAGACTGCCACACCTGGAGATTGCCACGCCTTGAGACTGCCACGCCTGGAGGTGACTGCCACGCCTGGAGGTGACTGCCATGCCTGGAGGAGACTGCCACGCCTGGAGATTGCCAGGCCTGGTGTGTTCTTTCATACATCAATCAGGACATGATCCTGTGGGGAAGACTAAGAAAAACATAGACATGTAATAATCAAACATAACATGTGGACCTGGTGTAGATCCTGGTTCAAATAGACCAGGTGTAAAAAGACATTTGGAGACAATTAAGGCAATTGACTATGATCTAAATACCAAGGAATTTTTCCTTTTATCCAGTGTGATAATGGCCTTCTGGGGTCCAGGTGTCCTCACTTTCCACAGAGTGGAAATAAGGAGGGCAATGACCTCGTGTCAGTCTCATTCAGATATGTGGGGGTTTTCTTTGCTATTAAAGACTTTATTGTCAATTGTTAAGTTGACAATTTATAATTGCATGTATTTATGGGATACAACTGACACAATTTATGAATACAACGTGAAATTATTTTTTGTTGCATACATTTTATTTTATTTCTTACTTTCCTTTTTAAAATGTATTTGTATAAATTTGTAAGGTACGAGTATAATTTTGTTATATTGATGTAGCACGTTGTGGTGAAATCAGACTTTTCACGTATCCGTCGCTAGAGTAATGTACATTGAACCAGTAAGTAACTTTGCACCACCCACTCGACCCTTCCGAGTCTCCATCGTCTGCTCTTCCACGCGCGGCCTCCATGTGCGCACATGACTGAGCTCCCACGTGAGAGCGACAGCATTTGCTCTCTGACTTTCGGTGCCCGAGTCGTTTCACTTACGATAATGGCCTCCAGTTCCATCTGTGTTGCTGGGAAAGACATAATTTCATTTTTTTATGCCTGAATATTCCATTATGTGTGTGTGCATATATATATACACACACCCCATATTTTCTTTATCCAATCTCCTGTTGATGGACACTTAGTTTGATTCCATATCTTTGCTATTGTGAATTGTGCTGCCATAAACATACCAGTGCAGGTATCTTTTTGGTATAATGATTTATTTTCCTTTGGGTAGATACACAGCTGTGGGATTGCTGGATTGTATGGTAGTTCTATTTTTAGTTCTTTGAGAAAACTCCATACCGTTTTCCATAGAGGTTGTAGTAATACACATTTACACCAACAGTTTCTTTTTCTCCACATCCTTGCCAACATCTGTTATTTTTTGTCTTTTTAGTAACAGCCATTCTGATTGATGTAAGGATGATCTCTCATTGTGTTTTTAACTTGCATTTTTCTGATTAGTGATGCTGAACAATTTTCATATGGTTGTTGGACTTGTCTTCTTTTGAAAAATGTCTATTCACTTCCTTAGCTCATTTTTTTTTTTTTTTTTTTTGAGACAGAGTCTCACTCTGTTGCCTGGGTTAGAGTGCCGTGGCGTCAGCCTAGCTCACAGCAACCTCACACTCCTGGGCTCAAGCGATCCTCCTGCCTCAGCCTCCCGAGTAGCTGGGACTACAGGCATGCGCCACCATGCCCGGCTAATTTTTTCTATATATTTTTAGTTGGCCAATTTCTTTCTATTTTTAGTAGAGACAGGGTCTTGCTCTTGCTCAGGCTGGTTTAGAACTACTGACCTTGAGCGATATGCCTCAGCCTCCCAGAGTGCTACCTTAGCTCATTTCTTAATGGGATTATTTGTTTTGTTGTTGAGTTCCTTATAAATTGTGGATGTTAGTCTCCTGTTAGATTTATAGTTTGCAAATATTTTCTCCCATGTCACAGGTTGTCTGTTCACCCTATTGATAATTTTGCTGAGCAGAAGCTTTTTAATTTAAGTCCCATTTCTCTATTTTTGTTTTTGTTGCCTGTGCTTAGTCATGAATTCTTTGCCTAGATCGATGTCCAGAAGAGTTTTCCCTAGGTTTTCTTCTAGTATTTTTATAGTTACAGTGGGAAATAATTATCAAGCTGATTTATTGTGTGTGTTGGGAATGTTTGATTCTTCCGAGCAATTTTGAAATGTACAATACATTATTTTGACTATATTTATTATGCTATGCAGCAGATCTCAAAAAAACCACATTCCTCATAACTGAAACTTTGTATCCTTTGACTGTCATCTCCTCATTCCCGACCACCCAACCTCTGTAACCGCCATTTGACTCTCCAGTTTCATCCATGTCGTTGCAAATCACAGAACTTCCTTTTTTAAGGCTGAGCAGTACTCTGCGTGTGTGCGCGCCTGTGTGTGTGCGTGTGTGTGCGCGCGCCTGTGTGTGTGTGCGTGTGCGCGCGCGCCTGTGTGTGTGCGTGCGCGCGCGCCTGCGTGTGTGTGTGCGCGCGCCTGTGTGTGTGCGTGCACGCCTGTGTGTGTGTGCGTGTGCGCGCGTGCCTGTGTGTGTGTGTGCATGCACGCCTGTGTGTGTGTGCGCGCGCTTGTGTGTGTGTGCGTGTGTGTGTGCGTGCGCGCACGCCTGTGTGTGTGTGCGCGCGCGCCTGTGTGTGTGCCCGCACGCTTGTGTGTGTGTGTGTGCGCGCGCCTGTGTGTGTGTGTGCGTGCGCTTGTGTGTGTGTGTGTGCGCGCGCCTGTGTGTGTGTGCGCGCCTGTGTGTGTGTGCGTGTGCGCACGCCTGTGTGTGTGCGCGCGCCTGTGTGTGTGTGTGTGCGCCTGTGTGTGTGTGTGCGCGCACGCCTGTGTGTGTGTGCGCACCTGTGTGTGTGTGTGCGCGCCTCTGTGTGTGTGTGTGCGCCTGTGTGTGTGTGCGCACCTGTGTGTGTGTGTGCGCGCCTCTGTGTGTGTGTGCGCGCACCTGTGTGTGTGTGTGTGTGCGTGCGCCTGTGTGTGTGCGTGTGTGTGCGCGTGCACCTGTGTGTGTGTGTGTGCGCGCGCCTGTGTGTGTGTGCACGCGCGCCTGTGTGTGTGTGTGTGCGCGCGCCTGTGTGTGTGCGTGCGCGCACCTGTGTATGTGTGTGCGCGTGCCTGTGTGTGTGCGTGCGCGCACCTGTGTGTGTGTGCGTGTGTGCGCGCGTGCGCGCACGCCTGTGTGTGTGTGTGCGCGCGCCTGTGTGTGTGTGCACCTGTGTGTGTGTGTGCGCGCACGCCTGTGTGTGTGTGCGCACCTGTGTGTGTGTGTGCGTGCGCCTGTGTGTGTGTGCGTGTGTGTGCGCGTGCACCTGTGTGTGTGTGTGTGTGCGCGCCTGTGTGTGTGTGTGCGCGCGCCTGTGTGTGTGTGTGTGCGCGCGCACCTGTGTGTGTCTGTGCGCGCGCCTGTGTGTGTGTGTGCGCGCGCCTGTGTGTGTGCGTGTGTGCCTGTGTGTGTGTGTGTGCGCGCGTGCCTGTGTGTGTGTGCGCGCGCCTGTGTGTGTGTGTGTGCGCGCGCCTGTATGTGTGTGTGTGCGCGCACGCCTGTGTGTGTGTGTGCGCACCTGTGTGTGTGTGTGCGTGCGCGCCTCTGTGTGTGTGTGCGCGCCTCTGTGTGTGTGTGCGCGCACCTGTGTGTGTGTGTGCGTGCGCCTGTGTGTGTGTGCGTGTGTGTGCGCACACCTGTGTGTGTGTGTGTGCGCGCGTGCCTGTGTGTGTGTGTGCGCGCGCCTGTGTGTGTGTGTGTGCGCGCACGCCTGTGTGTGTGTGTGTGTGCGCACCTGTGTGTGTGTGTGTGCGCGTGCGCCTGTGTGTGTGTGTGCGCGCGCCTATGTGTGTGTGCGTGCGCGCACCTGTGTGTGTGCGTGTGTGTGCGCGCGCCTGTGTGTGTGTGTGCCTGTGTGTGTGTGTGTTTGCGCGCGCACCTGTGTGTGTGTGCGTGTGCGCACCTGTGTATGTGTGCGTGTGTGTGCACGCGCGCCTGTGTGCGTGTGTGTGCGCGCGTGCCTGTGTGTGTGTGTG